TCCTCCTCCTCCTCCTCACCCTCCTCCTCCTCTCCTCCTCTACTCCTCTCCTCCTCTCCTCCTTTCCAACTCTTCCATTCCTTTTCCTCATAATTAACTTCTCCCTGTCGCACCCCGACGCCAGTTTTAGGGCGACCCGGGCGTTCCACCGGAGACTTCCTCACAAAAATGGCAACACATTCGCCGATGGAAGGCGGGTGGTTTTCAAAATGTAGCTCTCGGCTTAGCGCCGCGCACATTCGTTTCAAACAAGTACAAGAGCTTCACGGATTGAGGGCGAATTGTTTTCAAAATGTGGCTCTCGCCCTAGCACCGCGCATATTAGTCTTGAAAATCTGACAAGCAAGAATGTCACGGATTGAGGGCGAGTGGTTTTCAAAATGTGGCTCTCGCCTTAGCGCCGCGCGCATTCGTTTCAAAAATGTGCCAAGAGCTTCACGGATTGAGGGCGGAAACTTTTCAAAATGTGACTCTCGCCCAAGCGCCGCGCACACTCGTCTCAAATATTTGCAAGGGTTCCACGGATTCCCACGATCAACGTACCAATAATGGTGTTTTGGAAGGGTTCAGGCTTACGGGGGTGCATAAGTTATGTTGGTTCGCGGTGTTCAAATCCCAGGAATTGCTTCTTGGCACGATTCAGGATCGCCAAGACGCAACAGTCAGGATGATCCGTGGCGTTGGAATCCCGAGCAAAATATTTTGGCATGCTTCAGGGTCTTCAAAAACTTGTTTTCCAACCAGGCAAACTATTCCAACATCGTTGATGCATCTTGGGTTCACACTGGTCCTCCTTACCCTCCTCCTCCTCCTCCTCCTCCTCCTCCTCATCCTCCTCCTCCTCCGCCTCCTCCTCCTCCTCTCCTCCTCTCCTCCTCTCCTCCTCCTCCATTCCTTTTCGTTATGATTAACTTTTCTCTGTCGCACCCCGAGGCCAGTTGTCAGGGCGGGCCGGGCGTTTCGCGTGAGACGCCCACACCACTTGTGAATCTGAAGCTTAAAGCTTGGCAACAGATTCGCAAGTGGAAGGCGGGTCGTTGTCAAAATGTGGTTATCGCCTTAGCGCCGCATACATTCGTTCTACAAATTTGCAAGAGCTTCACAGATTGAGGGCGAATGGTCTAGATTGCAAGAGTTTCACGGATTGAGGGCGAATTGTTTTCAAACTGTGGTTCACGCCCTAACGCCGCGCACACTCGCTGCAAACAAATGCAAAAAAAACACGGATTGAGGGCGAGTGGTTTTCAAAATGTGGCTCTCGCCTTCGCACCGCGCACACTCGCTTCAAACACTTGCAAGAATTTCACGGACCCAGGGCAATTGCTCACAAGATGGATATCGCTTTAACGCCGCGTACATTCGTTTCAAAAAACTGCATGAGTTTCACGGGTTCCCATGACCAACGTATCAAGAAAGGTGTTTGGGAAAGACTAAGGATTAAGCGGGTGCACCTGTTACGTCGGCTCGCGGTGATCAGGTCCCAAGAATGGCTGTCTGACACGGTTCAGGATCGTCGAGACGCAACACTCAATTTGACCCGTGGCGCTGGAATCCCGAGAACAGTGTTTATGCATAAGCAGTTTCAGGGTCTTGAATCGGTTGTCTTCAAACGAGGAAGTTTCCTCAATGGCAATGGAAATGAACCGATATAGGGTCGACGAAGAGGGAGTTTGGAGGGAGGGTTGATTCCAACATCGTTGATGACTCTTGGGTCTACACTGGTCCTTATCCTGCTCCTCCTCGTCCTCCTCTTCCTTGTCCTCCTCCTCCTCATCATCATCATCATCCTCCTCCCCCTCCTCCTCTTCTTCCTCCTCCTCTTGCTCTTCCTCCTCCTGCTAGTCCTCCTCCTATCATCCCCCTCCTCCTCGCCAGCATCAACATCATCATCACCATCATCACAAGTATCAGCCACATCATCATCATCCCCTCATCATCCGCATCAGCATCAGCATCACCATTGTCAGCAGTGTCAGCATCAGCACACCCTCTGCCGACAGCAGCATCATCACATCGGCATCACCATCACCATGACCATCATCATCAGCATCAACAGCATCCTCATCCTCAGCAGCATCATCAGCACCATCCGCATCATCATCAACAGCGTCATCAACATCATCACCATCACCACACCTGCCACCATCATTCATCCTCATCAGCACCACGAGCATCAACATCCTCATCATCATCATCAGCAGCAACATCCCCATCCTCATCATCATCAACAGCAGCAGCAGCAGCAGCAGAGTCGTCGTCGCCGGCGGCGGCAGCAGCATCATGAACCACCAGCATCATGAACCATCGTAGTCAGCAGCACTATCATCATCATTACCACAACCACCATCATCATCATGGCCATCACCGTCACCATCCTCATCATCATCCTCTTCGTCCTCCTCAACTCCCATCCTCCTCCATGTCCTCATCATAATCATCCTCATCATCATCAGCATCATCATCAGCATCATCAAGGTCGTCTTCATCCTCATCATCATTATCAAGACGGTGGCTGCTCTTTTCCAAACCACTGCTTGCGGACACCGGGTGACCACGCACAGTCGAAACTGCCCCAGCTTTTTGGAGGTGGGAGGCTGCTGGGTGAACCAAAAAGCCTGCAGAGCGGAAGCACGGATACCGAGGCCAGGTTATTCCCGTGTGGCACAGACATGACGCTGGTTGCCCTTTCCCAGGCCACTGCTTGCACAGACCGGGTGAGCACGCACAATCGAAGCTGCCCACTCCCAGAAGTCTCGCAATCAGCACTGGCATGGCGGATTTATTCGACGACTGAAATCTAAAAAACCAAGTGTTTGACGGAAACCGCCACCGAGGCCCAACGAATTAGAAGGGGCGAGGGGAGGCGGCGGAGGCGAGAACGGGCCAGAAGACATTGACACGCAAGAGGCTGAAGGAGGTTGCGAGTGCTTTCGATATTTCCTCGCAGAGCTTCTCGGGATGCACATATACCTCGACCCGAACAAGTAGCTTGACAGAAGGCTACACACTTGCAATGAAACAGCTGCAGGCGCGCACGCGCACGCCACACGGTTCCAAAGGCACAGTAATCAATTGCACAAGCCGTACATGCACTATGTTTCATCATCTCAGGCCGACCGAAAACTGCCCATAAGTAGGATTCAGCAGGTTTCTCTTCACCACGGGGAAGGTTACGAGCGATACACGCGGCGAGTAAGATCCCACTACGCTGAGCCAACACATTGCCCTCCGCGGCGACGCCGTGGTCTGGGTCACGCAGGTTTGGGAGACCATCGGGGCACTGTGGGCTGCGTCGACGGCGACGAAGGCGAGCCCACTGCGGTGCCCTTCGAGCGATAGAGAAGGATTGGCACGGGGTACCGGACCACGTCCCTGCTACGAGTCCTGAGCGAATCCACCCCAACAACATGTGGAAGACATCGCCACGCAACAAGTCATACTGAAATCCATGCACACTGTCGACGCACAAGACTGCCACGTTGCGAGCTGCCAGAGCCCGCGCAAGGCTGCCTGATCCAGAGAACAGGTCTAGGAAAACACGCCGTAGGGCTGGCTGTCGCTGCGCCAGAGCCTGGCAGCGCTCGGCGGAGGGCCTGACGTCGCGCTCCACGACGCCCGCGACCCCCGCCTGCAAACCACAGGGAACTTGCCGAGCTGCGAGGAGGCCCGCGCAGACATGTCGCAACGAGTCACACTGCGGAAGCTGCGCCGGAGCCCGCGCTGCCGCGCCTCGCCGAGAGAGCGGGCCTCCACGAGGCGGTCGCGGTCGGCCCCCCCGCGCCGCCGCGCGTAGAGCGTCGGCCCGACCGAGTAGACCCCCAGCTGCTCCACTGCGGCCGCGAAGGCGCGGCGCCACTGCCTGGAGCCGATGTCGACCAGGCGCTCCTGGCGGGCGCGGGGCCCCCGGGGCGCGCACAGCGCTGGGGCCTGCGCTCGGCACCGCCCGAGGTCGACATGCACGCCGCGGCAGGACTCCCGGGTCTGGATCGGCCGCCCGAACACCTCCACGTGGACGCAGGGGGCCCAGCAGGCCCCTTGCCCCCCTGGGCTCGCGGGCGGGGCGAGCTGCGCGACCGCGAGGCTCGGCAGCTCGGAGGGCCGCATGAAGGACTCGAACACCCCGACGACGATCAGCGCGCCGACCAGGCACGCGGCCAGCATGGCCCACGCCCGCGCCAAGAGATAACTCCCAAAGGAAGCGGAGGTTGTGCGACGGCAGCAACCGCCCCCACCCCGACACGGCGGCGCGCGCCCCTAGGAAGATCACTCCCAGCGGCCCGCACAAGCACAGCTGCGCCCACGCCGGGCGGCTGGAGGCCCAGGGGGCGCCCTGGCCAAGGAGGCCCCCGCGGGGGCCCCGCCGCGCGCCGCCAGTTCGGGCGCGCTGGAAGCCACCACGGCCGCTCGGCCCAGCGCTCACGCCGCGAGCTCGGAAGCGGGCGCCACCACGACGGCGCGCTGCGTCGAAGCAGCCCGGGCCCGCGCCTCCCGCGCCGTCGGAGTCGGGCGGGGCCGCGAGCAGCAACTGCGCCGACGGGCGGCAGGCGAACCCCCCTCGCGGGCCCCGAGGACCGCGTCTGGGCTGAAACGCCCGACTGGCGCCGCCACAAGCGCCCCGCCCTGCGGGCGCCCAGCGGCCCACGAGCTCGAGCCCGTCGGCTAGGACGGAGGCGGCCGAGAAGCGATGCTAGAAATTCATCGACAGGTTCGACGAGCGGCCGTTGGCGCGCACAGATGACACGTTGTCGCCCAGCATCAGAACTCGAGGGTCGCGAACACTACAGCGTCACGAGAGATGTCGGACCGCCCACGTCCGCGCACGAGCCACCCCGCTGGACCTGAGACCCCGGGCCCCCCCCCATCCAGCGCCCGGCATGGGCGACCTCCCAATCCTTGTCAAAGAAAGGAGCAGGCACTTCCCTGACTCCCCGCAGACGCTCAAGCTCCAAGATGACATCCTCCGAAGCCTCCGAGACGCACAACTCCTCCTCATGGCCCAGAGCCCAGGGCCGAGGGGCCCCAGTAACGCCCAGGAGCCCACCGACCTCTTTCTCGAAACCGACCGACAGCGGCAACTTCGCCAGGAGGACAACGTACACTGCCTACCACGGAGCCCCACGCGGACGCGTCGCACCCGAAGACACGGCCCCGCAAGAGGCGTCGCACACATGATCGAGCGAGAGGGAGGAGCGCACGGATCCAGCGGATTTCGCGACACACCGAAGGCCAGAGGGGCTGACGGCGCACATAGCTATCTTGCACGAACACATAGACCTTCTCCATCACACACAAGAGCTCGGGGGCCAACGAGAAGAGAGCAGCAACGTGACCGACGAACCTCCCCGACTCCAGACCCGCGACGCTGCGCCCGCCCCCCAAGGGATAATCAGCGGCGAGCATCGCCTTCCAGAAACGACCAGCCCCAGGTCGCCCCCCCCCCCCCCCCCCTCCCAGCCCCCAACAACGCGAAGCCGATAAAGCCACGGCCCCCTGGGCTCTCCGCCCCCAACAACGACGCGAGCCCCCTCGCCCCCAGCTGCCCCCCCACCCCCACGACGGCACCCTCGGCAAAGACGGGGCCCACGCTCACGCGCCAAGCGATCGAGCAAACAAATGTGTGTGTATATATATATATAGATCCGCGCAGCGACCCAGCGTCGCCACGGCGGGAGGAGAGCCCTGTCTAAAACCCAAGGGGCCTCAGAGCTCACGTCTCTGAATTGGCGCGAACTGGCCGCCTGCACTTACGCAACAGCCTAAGCCCACCCCATGGGCACCACCTGGGCCCGGACATGGGCCCGCCCGCGATTCCCGCGATTCCGAGCCGCCTCCGACATAGCAGCGACGAGGTCCGCGGACAGGCGGGCCGCAGGGATCACAGGCAGACCGAAGAAAAAACACCCATCGTGGACGGGAAGTTCAAACTGGCAGTCGCAAACGTAAACGTCACCCCCGCGCAAGACAGGAACAGAGCGGGGCGCGCGCTCCAGATGGGCAAGACTACCCCAGGCGGATCTTCAAACCACACGTTGGGGGCCCGCGCACCCCGAATCAAACGAAGGGCGCCTGATTTCTTTCGCGCGACCCCCCCCCCCAACTCTCCCCGAGCACATCCTCGCTGGCTTCCAGGGCGCCAGCACTCCAGACCTCCGAAACGAACTCTCCGAAAAGTCCAGCCTGGCCCCTCAAGACAGGGCACGCAAAGAGGCCGCCACCGAACTCTCGCTCACGCGTGGCAACCTCCTCAGCATATAAAAGCGCCGAGCGATCTTCGAGCGCGGACTGCAAGGCTAGCGGCAGGCACCCACTGCGACACGTCCCCTCGCTCAAAGTTCACACGAGCACCGACGGCTGACGCGTCATCTGCGCAGCCGGGCCGCGTTCTCTGGAGCGCCTGCCACGTCCCCAGGGAGCCCCCGCAATCAGGCGGCGCAGCGTCCACAGACCCATACTGCCGAGCAAAGTGACGAACGACGGAGACCCGAGCAAAAGTCAGCGACGAAGACGGAGGTAAGAGCAGCCCGACGCGCCGAGCTCATTCAGAGCTTGGATACCCTCGAACAGTCAGCCCTCCTGCGCTCGGCGCCGTCGGAGAAGTCGCCGCTGACTCTGAGAAGCACCCGCGCTGGTGCCACCGCCCAAGCAGACCTCTGAGGCGGCGGCCAGAGAGATAGGGAAGACGTCGCGTCAGCGAGCCATGCGCAATATGAAATCACCTCAGGTGCGGACACCACCTGCCGAATCCTGAACCCCAGCGGCAAGCCCTCGAGGAGGCGGGCCCCTCCCCCTCGCGGCGGCGCAAGATAGATGGAAGCAAGCCGTCAGGCCTGCCCTCCTCCCCTCGCTCCCCTCTTCCCCGTGGCAGTCTGCTTCGCCGACGGGGTCACGTCGACGTCCTTGGCTGGGGCGGCCTCCTCACGCGCCCTGCGGCGCTCCTGCGGCGCGGCAGCACGCGCGGAAAGCTCCTCGGCATCGCGCTACTCCGCAGGCTTTTGACGCCCAAGAACACCGGGCGCTGACTCAGTCCATCGTCGCCGCCTGCCGATCCAGCGTCCACCTTGCGAAGCAGATCCTCGTAGACACTCCGCCACACCTGATAGCGACGACCGAGGATGAGCTCAACGCCGCCAAGCTGCACACCTGCACCTGGTCAATCGTGAGAGCGACCTCCAACAACTGGGACGACAGCAGGTGCACGTCGAATCCCACGTCCGACGCGGCAAGCACTAGCACTGAGCGCTGCCAGTAGTGGATGTGCTCCGCAAAGGGGTAGGCCGAGCGCGACTCCTCGATCTCCCCGCCCGTGCCGAAGTCCACCTCCTTCATGCCGTGCACCGCGTCCGAGAACGACCGACGGAAACGCCGCATGCCATCGGCCCCCCACTTGCCCGCGGGCATCGCGGGTGGGCCGCCGTTGCCAGGAGGCGCGGGCGCGGCGTCCGCGCCAGCGCCAGCAGGGCGGAGGCCCTTGGTCAGCGCCTCCACCGTGCCCATGTAGCGTTCATGCCGAACGCGAGGTGGTTGACGCAGTACCCCGCCAAGCCACGCACGGCAGCGGGCTGGCCCGACTTGAGCCCGTCGTTTTCCGGCGCCAGCTTCTCCTCGAAGATGTCGAGAGCCCGCGAGGTCACGACAAAGCTCGCCCCGACGAGGAGGGCGAGAAGCAGCGCCTCAGGCCACCCGTCTTGCAGCGGCAGTCGCACTGGCAGACACACTGCGCGGGACGCCCCACCAGATCGGCCAGCGGGCGGCACTCGCCAGACACCGCCGCCTCGGGAGCGGGCACCTCACAATGTCAATCCAAAGGGCTGGGATAAGCCAGCGCACGGTAGAGGGCCAGTTCGCGTAGGGCCGAGAGGGTAGCCAGAAGAGGGCCGAAGGTTTCCATACACTCCTGAACCAAGAAGCCTGCAGAGCGGAAGCACGGATACCGAGGCAAGGTCATTCCCGTGGGGCACAATCATCATCATCATCATCATCATCATCATCATCATCATCATCATCATCATCATCATCATCATCATCATCATCATCATCATCGTCGTCGTCGTCATCATCATCATCAGCAGCAGCAGCATCATCATCATCACCACCATCATCATCATCATCACCAGCAGCATCATCAGCATCATCACCACCATCATCATCATCAACATCATCATCAGCAGCATCATCAGCATCATCATCATCATCAGCAGCAGCATCATCATCAGCATCATCATCATCACCGTCATCATCATCAGCAGCAGCATCATCCTCACCACCACCATCAGCATCATCAACATCATCAGCATCATCAGCAGCATCATCAGCATCATCATCATCATCAGTAGCATCATCATCATAATCATCATCATCATCAGCAGCATCATCATCACCATCATCATCATCAGCAGCAGCATCATCAGCAGCAGCATCATCATCATCGGCATCATCATCAGCAGCAGCATCATCAGCATCAGCATCAGCATCAGCATCAGCATCAGCATCATCAGCACCATCATCATCATCAGCATCAGAATCATCAGCATCATCATCCTCATCATCATCATCATCATCATCAGCATCATCATCATCATCATCATCAGCAGCATCATCATCATCCTCATCATCATCATCATCATCATCAGCATCATCATCATCACCATCATCAGCATCATCATCATCATCGTCATCACCATCACAATCATCATCACCGCCATCATCATCATCATCATCATCATCATCATCATCATCATCATCATCATCATCATCAGCATCGTCATCAGCATTTTCATCGTCAGCATCAGCATCACCATCATCAGCATCAGCATCATCATCACCGCCAGCAGCAGCATCAGTATCAGCATCATCATCGGCATCGCCATCATCGGCAGCATAATCATCAGCATCGACAGCATCGTTGGCAACATCATCATCAGCATCATCCTAAGCATCAGCAGCATCAGCATCATCATCAGAAGCATCAGCATCAGCATCGGCATCAGCATCACCATCATCACCATCATCACCATCAACATCATCAGCATCATCAGCATCTTCAGCATCTTCAGCATCATCGGTATCATCATCGACCCCATCATCATCATCATCATCATCATCATCATCATCATCATCATCATCGTCATCATCATCATAATCATCGTCATCATCAGCATCATCATCATCATCATCATCATCATCATC